CGCCACCAAATTCTCATTTCTTGTTGGAGACGACGATACTTTCCCAGAAGCTTGACGTTTAATCCTTCGTCACTGACTCAGTTCTCTCTCAAGATATATGACTTGCAAATGAGTGAAGGTCGTGAACTTTCGTATGGCGTCCATTTTTGGAAGCACGTTCTGCTTGTCACAGCAGACGGTGCAAGAGGTAAACCGCGGCAGAACTCTACTGTCTTCCTAATTCGGTATCGACCACCTGATGAGAGGATTTCGAGATAATTATAATTATCATACATACATCTTGGATAGTGTTCATTTCGAACTGTTGTACCAAACAAATGCACGAACCAGACAGAATTCGGCCTGAAGCCTGTGAGTTATGAGAAGCATGTAGGCCCATCATATTTGCAATTATAATGTTGAAAATCATCAGAGTTATATGCGTGGTTCTCGATGCCGGTAAGAGACTTAAAGCGACAACATGCAACACCCATTCGAAAATTAAGAAACGTACGCATAGCGAAAAAATTACGGTGCGTTTCAAAATATTATATTGAATATTTCGATAAAGAACATCATTTAATATTTTAAATATTTTAAATGTTAATTATTGTAATATTTTAATATTTAATAAGAATTTGTGATTAGACGGACAAGATTTAAATAATATATATTATATTTAAAACATATAAATGAATTTAAAATCGTAAATAATTAAAGGAGTGCTATTGCTGTAAATTACAATTGTTAAATTAATTATTTATAATAAACATTAATGCAAAAAAACACTCCATTTCCATTTCGAATTCGACTGAACCAAATACTAAGGAGAAGCATAGGCTTCAGTTGCTTGGCGCTGAATTGGCAGTGTCTGAAATATTTTGGCCTCACCATTACTTTTGAAACTTGCCTGTCGTGATTTGACAGCTATTTGCAAAGACTAAACAAATTTGGATTTTGCTTGTAACACGTAGGCTACGCTAACAACTTAAAGACTGCAACATTTGTAGTCAGGAAACGGGATCTATGATTATCAGAACTGTGTGCCTCTTTATGAATTAATGCTGTAGATAATTACTTGATTATAGCACCAATTCGAACCTCGAACCTGAGATCTTTGGTACAGTAGAGAGTGTCTTAATCTTAAAACGTTACTTTTCTTCTCGATAACCGCAGTCGACAACCACGTTTGTGACACACGACAGTGTAATTTGTAAAAGTGTGTCTTTTATCTCCAGATATTTATAAATATGAATTGTACTTTTATTCTGATTTCTGTATTTCATGTGAATTTGTAGCTTATAGGGCTGGAATTGTACTAGCATCCGGTAAAAATACGTGTGATCTGATTTTACATTTTAGTGTAAGAGAAATAACTGAAATATATATCCTCATTCTTTGAAGATTTTTTTTACATTAGTGTAAAGATTAATCAATTTTAATAATATTTCGAATGTAAACATTTTGAAACACCGTGTACCGTCTTCGAGATAATTCTCTCTTCAGTGCCCTGGGAAACACAACGTGACGGTTTGCCACGACGGCTTACAATCTCTCGCCAATTTAAAATGTATCACTGTATTTTAACTCACCAGTATTCACTTTTAGTTTCAAAAGAAAACAAAGAAAATTTGAAAGAGGATCAAGATAGTAAATCATTTTAGATCCTTTGTTCTTCACTACGAAGTTAATTTCCTCCGGTCTCTTATCTACAAACGCACACGACACGTCTCCCACTTTAAGAGTCACAAAAGATTTAGCTATATTTCACTTGGGAGACAGTTAAATTCTCTTATCCAAGAACACACATTTAACAAGTTGTACTGTATTTTATACCATATCTAACACGGATTAGATTCGTCCTGGATACACCCATCGCTATTTAAAACAAAAATCCTTTTGTCGTCGTGGTATCAGCACGTCTCTGAAATTTCTTATTTTGTCACATTTACGTCATACGCATTCAGTGCATTTTGTGTTCTAGATGTAATTTGTAAGACAAAAACATTTTTATCTTCCAGACAACCCTTGAGATGATAGAGCGAATAGATTTTTGGTTCGAAGAATAAGCCAAAGTTATTTCTTACGCTTAAAATATTATACACGATCTAAGTTTAATACCGGGTATCATTTCCTTGTAACATATCATCCAATCATATTTATTAGAGTTCTTAAGTTTGTGTTACCAAGATAGCGAATTTACAGCCGAAATTTACTGTACGTATATAAAAATAATTTACATAATGTCCTACTGCTGGAACCGAAAGAAGTGTATGATAGGGAAAATTGTTTGATAAGATACAGCTGAACGGAACAAAATATTACCCATTCGACGTATTTAAACAGTCTCACAACACGTAATCCTCATCTTCACGCGGTGACTGACTGACCCTGCAGTGTGACCTATTACACCACAGTGAACGAAGACATGACTAATCCTTTTACGTGCAATCTCTGCCAGAGGTCTGCCCGTATGAGAGAGAGAGGCCATGACCCATCAAAAACGGGTTTCAATGACTCTAAAACTTATTAAAACTAATGGTCAGATTACGACAATCAGCCTTATGACGTCAACACAGGAACAATGATAAATAGAGTACAATATTTTTTGGAAAATCTTGTGGAAAGTTTATAAGAAAAATTATTTTTAAAGAAGCAAGTCACGTGTTGTAAAACTGATTGTCCTAGCTCAAGACAGGAAGCGAGGACATATTTTAGTTGCAGACAGAGTCGTATTTAAGGGCCCAAAGCTCACTTCTCCTGCATCCGGACGCCCTCTCTGAAACGTCTGAACATCGCAATAAAAGCGTATTTTCGTTTGTTAAATTGCAGTAAAAGGAGAAGGTTTCATGACATTTATCCAAAAGAAAAACAGGTAATTTATGGATTTATGTAGACCTAGTAAAGTGTAAACTAATCTGCATTCGAATTAGAAAATTCATCTTGAAATTTTTGGACTTTTTAAAAATACGTTCATATTCGTAGTGAAAATAAACCATTACCTACGGGTAGAACTGATCGAATCGTTTTCTATTAATCATCCATCATAGTGTTTATTAATACGCATAGGCCGATACCTTTGGTGGTAGGTAAGAGTCATACGTGACTTAGTATTAACTTAAGCAGTTCTTATAAAAAACCAGATATATGTAAGGTGATATAAAGCAGGATCCAAAATATATGCGTCTTTTATTCTAAAATAAAAAAATAATTAAATCTACAAATTCACCCTCATCTTACACAAACAAGAGACGCAAAATAACGAGTATTTTCAAGATGGTCGTATCCTGGGTTGTAGAAGTCATCAACCTGAAGATGAATGCAGCAAGGACCTCTGAAACGTTGGTAAATTTCTACCATGCTACACAGCGAAACAACCCAGAGGACGACCATCTTCGTACTTGTAGTCATTGAAACCTCAAATAATACACAACGCGCATTTTTATTGCATTTATTACGACAAAAGCGGTAGATTATTTCTTATAAATAACCCCCCCCCTTCGAATTACTATTTGTTAAATTCGAAAGTAGATGTAGTTATCAACACACGTAGACTAAAAGTGCACACTTCAAACCGTTTACAAAGCCATGAAATCTACCGTAAGTTATCTGTCAAAATAATTGGCGTGGAATGCAATACATATCTCTTTCTGAGTCAAAGTTCATAAACAGCAAGAAACAGTGCGAAGAAATAGGGTATGTGACCTCACAACGCAGGGACACATGGACCTACGGTAATATGCAGGTAAAGGAAGTGAGCTCAGATGAAAATAAAATGCCGAGGAACAAACATCATTGACTCTGTTGCGTGTAGTAACACAAGCAACCTCATTTATAAGACACTGAAATAAATTTACACCACGTTTCCCAATAAATACCACTTCAGACAAATAAATTACACAGTCACACAGAGATAAACCACTTATCCATTATGGGAAACAATTACTGACATAAAATACTGGAAAGAATGTTCGTTACGTCATGCTTATTGCATTTTTGTTTTTAATAAACACATATCACATCGTTTCGGAGTTTTGGGATGAGGCTAAGGTTCTCGGACAGTCCGGTGTCTTGGTATCGTCGCAACATCTAAACTTCATCACACATGAATTCACTGTAGACGATGCCTACCTGGACGCTTATTCCGTGTTACTTGCGTTAGAATGTTGGCAAGAATTTCGGTTCGTAAGGGGACCAACAAAAATATCAGCGATAAAACGAGAACAGGAAACGCCAATCACCAGAGAGACTTAAGCATTATATTGACGACGACAACAAATTTAAGATTGTCTCTAGTTTAGTAACCAGTGACATTACCCTCAAGAGAAGTTCTGAACCTGCGACCTTCCAGTTTATTTTGTGGATTTATTTGTAATTTATCTGGTATTATAAAACACTCGCTGTTAATGTTTCCGGTACGTGAATCGAAACTAGGGGCCGATCAAACAAAAGCAGTGTTAAAATATAACATTGATGATTATTCTGACACCACAATTACTCAGTAACATGAGAGCATGTTTTTTAGTAGTCAGTAACATTTTTATAAAACATTTTACATTTGAAAAGATTGCCCTAATTAATAACGTTGTGTCCCCGCGAGTCGACAAAAATAAATGTGGTCCCAGATCTGAAAAAGATGACAACCCTTGACCAACAGTATCAGGGAATTGATCGAGTTATAAGAATCTGCGAAGTTGTTATACCGTAATGTAAGTGAACATGTTTGATTTTTTTGTAAATATATCATAATTACTTACATATTAATGTGCCGCGCGCCTGTCAAAAATACGGACTACAGCAAACACAAAATTTTTTACAAGGTGTACACTGAAATTCTGCATTACTGACACGATCAAAATTACAAGACACACGACATGGTGACTTACGTCATTATTCCGCACTGCTATTATTGATGTGGTTGTCCAAGTCAAGACGACAAATGTCTGGCCTTGCAATTTAATCTAAACCGCGAAGTGAATTAAGTTTACGAGAAGCGTGTTCGAGCTTCCGCGTTGATGAAGCTAGACGATGCCTCCCCCCGCCGCTCCCCGGGCCACAGCGTCGATGTGAGGGCGTCGGGGCCGATGTGTCTTCCGTCGCCGGGACGACCAGTGAGTGCTGGCAGCCAACAGCGCGTGGTCGCCAGCGTCGCGATGCGACTGTGGCTGTGTGGTGGGGCAGCAGGCTACGAGACCCGCGGCCACCCAGCTGAACGGCGGTATCTTCCTGCAAAAACAACTGTAACTCAACACCGTTCCAGTGATACTTCTAACACGAACATTAATATAATTTTGTGAAGACCACTGATCTCGGTGACCCAAGGCAAGAGTAAAAATCCTGCACGAAATTACGTCACTGGTTACGGTGGCAATTAACAGTTGTTACCAAACAGATTTTTTGTTAAAGTCCAGTGCCATCCTTTCCCCATAAATATTCCCTCCACTCCCGCGCGATCCAGAGGTTGCCATAAATTAATCGAGCTGTAGACTAAACAAACCGAATCACAACTTATTCTCAAATATATTTTCACGACACACTTTCAATTCCCCGATATCCCCATATGCTCCAAGATGTTCCAGTATAATTTGTATGATTTTTCTTCTAAGAACTCAAAGCACGTACACATCAAACTCAATCACACAATTTACCAGTTCATTGACTCCTGGTTTGGGGTCATTGGCCCTAACTGGAACTATCGGCTTCGGTATCTACAATAAGATCCTTGGGGCCGCTGGGGGGGGGTGCAGGAGGAGTAGTTGGAGACTGTTTTTCCCTCATCCCCGCACCACTGCCTACCCCGTTGGTGCCCTAAATACAGCCGAGCGAATGTGGCACAACCCCCGTTGGTTCCGGGTTGAGAGGACAGCATTAGGATTGATCTTGCGCTTGCAAGGGGGAGGGGAGGCAATGTGAGGATGGAAAGTGAATGTAAAGACTCGAGGAAGCGAAGCTAAACCTTCTGGTATTGACAGTACAATTTTTGTTACAGCCAAGTTCTAGTAGCATAATAAATTAAAACGTCATTGAATTATTATATTTGTTTACCGTCAAATCACAATAAAATAGTAAGATAAGATAATTAAAATGATTAAAATATCATCTTATGTTCCATATCGAGCATTCGATGTAAACAAATATAATTATTTTAATTAATTATCACAATATGACGCAACTATACTATCTCACAAATTAAAACCTGTGAAAACAGTAATAATTTTACAAGCAGAATCCCTACGCATTCCCGTGGTAGTTATAGTAGAATAATCAAAGGGTTTTGGATTCGATGTCAAACTTCCCCATTCGTCTTCGTGACGTGATGATTCGTTATTACACGTCCGTATACGGCCAAGCCAGAGACCGGTATTTCATTTCCATTGCGAAATCTAGTGCAATCGTGATATTTTACTTAAATCTGAAGCAAAAAATCAGTTGACAGCAGATTCAATTAGGGAAATTGTTGTTATCGTGAAATTTAGAATCGTACTTTTCTGTCTCCTACCTAAAATCCTAAAAGTAAAAAATTGGAACATTACGTGTTACTTTATATGGATGGGCAACTTCGTCCTTCGCATTGATTAAATGTGTTTGAAAACAAAATGTTGAATACTATATCTGTATAGGAGGAAAATTAAATAACGGGATTGTTAGAGTAATAAACTGAAGGAAGTTCGAGTGGGCGGGGCATAGCGCACACATGGGAAAAATGTAACCGAAAAACCTGAAGAGACCTAGACGAAACATTAAAACGCCCTCTGAAGAAATAATGACTGACTGAAATTTTTTTTATTCAGAAGCTGGTCCTGTTGAACACAGCAACGAGGTTTCGAATTCCATCTGTGTGAGGGAATTTCTTGACCAGCTGAGCGACTATCGCCTTCTTGAAGACAAGACTGCTCCAAGGAGTTAGAATCTCAATCTCATGAACTGACATTTTACCGAACCTACAAGCTGGTGTGGTAATTTCAGCTTGTGAGTGAGACCGGTAACACAAAAACATCGTTACCGCTAAAGAAATTACAGATCTATAAGTCGACTAGCAATCATGAAAGAATTCGAACTACCTTCATTCCACTAATGCATAAAAAGTTTGAAAATGTCAGTAGTCTATACCTCAGTAACAACTAAAACATAAAGTAATCCCTGATTATGCCTTAAGCTGCTTCTTTAACAGCGTAAGCGTCGAATTTATTAATTATTTCTGTTCCACGTCCACTTACTTTGATAACAGTATCACATCTCGTTTTTCGAGTCGCAAATAAATTAATCCATCATCAGTGTTTACATCTTCATCTCACTGTCGCTGAAGAGCGCTGCAATCTTCTTTGCTAGAGGCAATAAAAAAACTCTGGGGCTAGAATATCGATTCCTTCTCTGACTAATAGCATCGATTATGTTCCAGTGAACAGGCACCACGAGTTGCTCGTGGACAGATAGGCGACAAGATTGCCTTAACTTACGTTCTTTGTCTCGGGAGGACAGGGAAAGAATTCTCATTCAGAGAAAACTAGATTAAATTTTCTGCATGCAACCTTTTTTTACACAACTACAGTAAGACGCTGGTAGCATTTATATGGTGCCCCCCCCCCCAAAAAAACGAAATTTTTACTGTAATAAAATATATTACTATGAAGGACCCTACAGGAACCGCGTAATTTCACTATGGATTACATCGGCATAAGCAAGAATACCCCTGTCTCTGAAGTGAATGACTTCATGGTTCGATTCCCGACAGAAGCAATGATTCTTACAGATTGCGTGCTTCAGAATTGCCAGCGTTTTTAAAAAATCTTAAAATGTTAAATATGGCGTTAAGGAAGGGACGAAAAACGTACTCTAAACACAATGTGAGGCCAGGAGAAACATTAATCCAAGGGGCAATCTAAAAGACTACGTGGCATCACAACCAAATAGACCATAATCCACATTTCCGACGCTGTGGAAACTTCAAACTCATAGGAATTTTCTCTTCATCAACACTTCCAGATCGATTCCTGGCTGCAAAGCGATTTGTACCGGGTGATATTTCTCGAGCGAAAAAAAGTGTCAGGAATATTAAGTGTTTCACTAATCTCCACAGCGACGCTCCCATAAATTTTAACGTCACTGTGATAAATAATGGGTTTCTGTTGACCCTTTCGTATATAAGGTGGAAGGATTGCACAAATACCATTCAACATTTCCGTATCGAAATTAATTTAGGTAAGAGTACCACGTCTTCATATATTTGTGGACTTCCATGACACTTTATCACCTTCGTTGGCAAGAAAAACATAAAAGATGCGTTTTATGAACAAGAGACAGCAGGAGAGAGGAAACTGTAAGTTAATATCACTAGTAATGTCGAGCGTCAATAATCTTCTGAGCATCAAGTGCACAAGAAAGTCGTCTGTGTGTCTGATAATAACATATGTTAGTTACCTGTAAGCAATTTATAGATTATCGAATTGGTAAATTAAGGTCATATGTTTATTCGTGAAGGAAAGCGGATATCAAATATGGTAATGTCTTGATTAGTTACGTGACTGGTAGAAAAATCGTAAAGAGGTACAGACACTATTTGCCGTTATGTTGGATCTTCGACAAAGTTGAATTTCAAAATAAGATTGAACTAACATCGCATGGCTCAGTCACACAGATCACACTACCAATCAAACTTTTAAAAAATCTAAACCTTTCGAAACGTCACACAATCACAAACAAACAAACCATTGCACAGTGTATCTTAATCACACTTTTATTTATAAAATCTTTTACGTTTTGCTATTTCTTCTGTGTTTCTACCATCACAGCCACCATCACAAATCACAACACAACTTTACGACTATTATCTCGTCTTAAAACTAAGTTATTTGCAGAGTTTTTCAAGACTTGAAGCTGTGCCAGTATTCAGATTGTCTGGGGAAGATAATACAGGCCTCGTAAAAAAAACTTTGTACAACAAAACCGGGTGTTCAAAGAAATATTTCAAGAATATGAAACCTACTGACATTTTATGGAGTAAAGGAGTTCAAATCCCGACGGAGGTTTGAGATTCCGCTGTGTAGCGTCGCGTTTAAAATGGTTCTATAGCTCATGGAGTTTCGTATTCGATATGCTGCCTCGAATATTACTCGGGGAAAATTCCACGATGTACAAAGATCTGTTGAAATTAAAATTTTAAATCCTACATTCAATGACGCTAACGCTGCATCCACCTCACAAGTTCGCATGGCGGCCATATTGGTGTAGAATGTTAAGAAATAACAATGCGAAGAAGTGTACAAGCCTCCCTCTTGACTGGCTCAGGACAGAGTCAACTGGCTAGCTCTTGTCAACATGGTAATGACTTCCATAGAAGACTATCAATTTCTAAAGGACTCTGCTCCGTGGATTTAGTTAAAACTCATCTCTACGTAAGTGTTAATTTAATTTAAATTATTCATAATTTCAGTGTAATTAAGTAAGTTTTTATCAGAAATTGTATATTCTAAGAAAAAAGTGTCATAAATGCTATAACCACAAAAACGTTATTAGGGAATATCCTATAATATGATAATACGCACGTAAATAACTGAGCGAAGTTATTACAAGCAAATAATGGACTACTTGGAAGACATTACAGCAGAAACCGTGAGGAAAATACCGGTAAGCATACGCAACTAACACGTTTTTGTTTCTGGACAGTGCATTTCAATTTAAAAACGGAAGTCATATACGAGTATAATACGCGAATGCTTACATTTCGACAAACTTAGCAAGGCTTGTTATTAGGGTGTATAAGGTTACATTCTAGGGCTGGAAAATAGATTCCTACATCCCACAAACGACTTTCAGTGGAATAAAGGCAAACAGCTCGTTAAGACGTCTCGAAAATTCAACTATGACAATAAACTTCCACTTCTGCTCAAAGGCAGCAAACTTCTGAAAAGAGACGCCTCGTACTTTTGTTCGCCTTTCACACAAACATGATTGTCCATAACCTGGAGAAATGGAAACAGTTCACAATCGCCGTAACGTGATGCAGAGTCGAAACACAGAGTTAGCCTATAGTGAGCGTTGCTGCATTAGACTAAAACTGCTTAAAAGTTTCAAACTTTACGGTCAATTAATTTTTATATTATTGGTGTTTTAGATGAGGGATGGACAGACACGTTTTATTTTTGCCAGGATAAATTAAAACTCTGGAGAATTTTAAAACAGTTACCCACGTATTAAATTCTTTTCAATAATATGGCAATTTTCAAGAATTTTCATTCTTTTTCCACGCATTGTAAGGGAACAGTTTGTACGAATTCGACTCAAGCGAATCGAAATAGCGTCCATTGGCGGATTTCTGTTCTAACAGTTACGAATCTCCTGATTCCACTAACGTTCAAGCAGGTATAAACCACCTACGACATATCCGGTCAAATACATTAGAATTAAGAATCTGTTAATATTTACTTGGAAACCATTTTCTGAGCTACTTTAAAATTTGCGCTGTTTTCAATAGCGATTAACGCTCAGTAAAACTCAGTATATTGGTAATGGCAGTTCACCCTTTCCCTGCCCTCTATATAACAAGTAATTTCATGGTCTTTGTGTTTCACGAGGCAGAGCCGTGAGTCTCGAGCACAATAAAAGAGCTGAAATGACTACCTTTATTTCGGGCCATATTTCTCAGAGAATCATCAATAATCCACATATAATGGTCTCAGCATACCGTGGCTCAATGGTTGTTGGATCAAATTCATTGGACGAAAGGGAATTTAGAACCTAACTTCCCCTTAATATGGCCGAGTTCAGTGTTATTAACCCGAAAATCTTACTTTATTTCCTCCATCCTTAAGAAAGGACGGAAAAAATTAGACAATGAGATTCGTGCCTTATACACCTTATCCAGATTTTATTTATTATGGTGATTAAATCACAGGTGAAATGGGCGGGACCTGCACCCCGCATTGAGAAGACGAAAGCAAGCGAAATGTTGGTGTGGAAATACCGAAGGAAATTTATTAGATATAGTCGCAGGTGACAGGATAATATTAAAATAAATATTAAGGAGAGGGAGTCGATTAAACTCTCTCAGGATATGGTTCAATCTTTGTGAACGCAGCAATAATTTTCAGAATTCCACAAGCGCAGGGAATTTGTTGACCAGATGAGTAACAGTTTTTAACATGTTAATGACACCACAGAGTTGCGGTTTACTTCTTCCATGGGCGAAAAATTATTATTACACGTTCATTTTAATTTCATTCATATGACGTAGAGAGCATGTTATTGTTTCAACTGCAAAATATAACATCGTTATAGGTTTACATAAGGAGTGACCAGAATACGAGCTGCATAATTCAAATCGTTCCCAGAATTTTTGAAACAGGCCTAAACTACTATTAATATGGCTACATTTTCTTAATATTTACTTCTAAAACACACCATAAAAATTGTACTAGCTGTACGCCATAGCAAAAAAACGTTTCAAGTAAGTCGAACAACGTAATGTACTCGCTCTGAAAAAAATAAAGATCCATTATTTATAATAGCTAACTTTTAACTACTGTCAAGAAATAGGCTGCGAAAGCTTTTAGCACCTAATTTTATTAGCCCAGTCGTAAAGACAATTACTTGCACAATCGATACAGGATTTGAAAAGTGCTGGAGAAATCTTATTCTACATTTCTGCTTTTTGCAGTTCACACACCGAGAGTCATTTTCAAAAATTCTTGATGTAACTGCTCTAATGTAGGCAACAGGATGATGCAGAAAATCACATGACGAGGAGATTCCCAATTTATATTCTTTGCAAAATATTAAGGCGATCAATTAAAAGGATGATGTGAGCAGAATGAGATGGAAAATGCATATGAAACTGTAGTATGGAAAAATGAAAAGTCAAGACAACATAGCAACACATGAAAACATAATATTAAAATGGATCTTTAAAAAATTGGATATGAGGATTTTCACCAGATCGGTTTCAGAACAGGATCCAATAACAGGTTCTTATGAACACGCTACTGCAGCTTCGGGTTCCATAAAAAGAAAAGAATTCTTGACTGAAAATATCGGTTTCTCAGAATGTATTCTGCTCCATAGAATTAAGGCCGGTACGTTACTGGATGGTTCGAAAACAGGGATACCGGTTTCGAAACCGGTTCGTGCCGTTTCTCCACGTTTGCGTTATTTGGTTTTGTCCTGTGTTTGCAGATCTGCTTATCCTGAGTTCTAAATGTTTAACCGAATGTCTAAAATATGAATCAGAACAGACCAGAGAGCTTAATCCATGACATCTAAAGAAGATATATTATTTTACTCCCTACTAACAGAACAAATACATTGAAGTGGCCTCTACTTGCCTTAGTGTGCGGCCGATGGACGTCGAGAAGAGGCAGTAGATGACAGGGTTGGCAGCCGAGTTGAGAGGCGCCAGGCTCTGGATGAAGGACGCCACGGCGATGTTTGTCTGGGTCCGTGGCACGTGGCCGTATACTTGCAGGAGGTCGAAAACGATGTAGGGGCTCCAGCAGATCACGAACACTGCGGAGACGTAAGATGCATCAACCACAACACTCAGCAGCCTTGTGATTCGAAAAGTTCGTGTCTTTACACCGCGTTTATGTTGGACCGGACTGTTTTCTTAATATCAGACGAACTTCGGCTTCAAAGGGTTAATATACGACATGCAAAACGTATAGACACGGGTCTACTGACGGCTTCAGATGACGGGTTTTCAACATGGTCATGCACTATCGACCAAATTTCCTTTTCCTTAAGAAGCTTACGCCTTGTGATTCAGGCTGATCAAAAATCACGCAACCCGTTCCTGACACACTTTCTCTTTATCAAAATATAATTATTTTAAAATGAGAAAACAAGAAAACATCATGTAAGTGATTAAAATGTTAACCGCGTTTAGCGATACATGAATTCGCTATTTTTCCCAAGTTTGTTGCAACCAAGTAAAGGCTTTCGCTTCCAACTGCTGACACTTAAATAATATTTTAAAAGGAACACAGCCTATATATCTGCGAACCCTGAATATATTATATTTTATTATATGGACAACACGGAAACTTTAAGTCACACAGCGTTCCAAGCTTCTTAGATAGGCCTACATTCCGATTTATTTTGAGGATATAATTTTTTCCTGAATGAACGGTTTAAGTATGTTGAAGCAGCAAGATGTAGATACTCGAAGAATCAATTTATCCCAAACATAAAAGCAAGGGTCTCGTGTCAAAAGAAATGTAATCACAAATTGCTGAGAACACTTACGCGAACCTTTTGAAAGACATAAATACATTTCTTGCTCGTCATCTTAGAAATGGTAAGAGGGGAAAATTGCGTTCAAGAATTCTACACACGACCTGCAGCCAAAGTAGACACGTATTTTTAGACGTGTGCATTCCACATTCCTCTTGTATCATAGGAATAACGGAGCACCTGCGGCCAATTCTATTCTACAATATTAGAACTATTAATATGGGTCTCTCTCGCCAACTTCAATGACAACGAATTCTATCTACGAGAGATAAGCGGCCCTCGAGCTATAGAACAGAACGTTCGAATTATAAAAGGCATGTCAATCATCTTGATAATTGGGCTGAAGAAGGCTGTCTTCTGGGTCGTTGCGCTGTGACGTCTGGTAGATGTTTACGGATGTTTCAGACGTGCATGATGCCTCCATCATCAGGGCGATGCGTTACGGTACCATTTCATGGAACGTGTTTCCGGCGAGGATTTACACTTGTAGGGAATCCTGGCCGATCTAACGATTGTTTTAACTTAGATTTGTTGCGACTGTCCTCTTTCTCTCCAAGCTAATGCCCTGAAAGTACCTCTCCTTTCCATTCCTCACCTACTTGGAATTTATTTTACTTCCATCTCATGTGACACTATATATCATACTCAGTTAAAAGAGTGTCATTAAATATATTAGAATGCCATATAATCAATCAGTATATTGGCTTCAAAACTGTCGGAAAGAACTGAGCAATTGAATTGATATTTTGTGCGGTTACTTTTTCATACACACAAAAAAAGAATCGGCTGCAATGTAAGAAAAAGACGAGGGCCTAAAATAATATTATTCGACTTCTTACAGTAAGCAGAAGAGGCAAAAGCACTTGAGTACTTACGGGAACAGTTGCATTTAATTAAGAGCATACCCCGCAGAAGACAACCTGAAGTCACATCAGTGGTACTTCATCTGCGTTTTTGTTACGATGCACAAGTTAAAGCAGGACAACACGAGAACTTTTTTGTCATCAGTGGCGCCAGCTCGAAACAATTGCTCGGATCTTCCTTCGTCCGTTGTCGGATAATATCTCGTGACAGATGAAGCGTATGATCCTACTTTATTTCAGGAAGATAAAGTATTTTCACTGATAGTCGCGACCGAGTGGTTAGTATTCCTGCTTCGTATTCGGAAGATCCCGGCTTCAAATATCGACCAAAACACAGGCTATCATAAATACTTTCCTTGTTTTCCTTAGACCCTCCAGGCAGATCCTTAAATTAAGTCACAACAACTTACTTAACATCCTTGACAATTACTTTTTAATTAATCGCCTAATCATTTGACGCCATATAAACTGAGCTGTTGATAGTTTCCTTAAATAAACCACGGAAGTGAATACATAATTTTGTTGGAATAGATGGATATGTTCTTTAGAACCACAAGCATTTTCGATACATTTGCAAAGGAACAAAGGAAACAAATATACGAGAGTAGGCACAGTGCAAATTAAGGGCGATATTATTATAGTTACCCCAAATAGCAAAATGTTAAAAAAAAACTCTAAAACCAGTGGACCGATTCTGAACGATTACCGCACTGGAGATTCTTGCAGAAATACGTCGAACCACCTCAAAATCTGTCAATCACAAACTGAAAATCTAAATGGTACGCCAAAACTGTTACGATATGCATGTGACATTTCCTAATCTGTTAAATACGTGAGGGTTCTAGATTTTAAGTCATGTCCTAGTCACCAAATTAAAAACCTTCTCATCGTCCCCAAAGACAAATGCCACCATATTAACGGGGCCGAAATTTGAACCGAGCACCAACTGGATATGTAAGGGGAAGGGAGAGAAATTGGGACTTTTACTGATTACCGCCACGTCAAGATACTCTCTCCTGCCCTATTTACAAACGAAATCGAGGAGCTTTGGGAAAATAGAGACAGATGGAGAGGCTTGGTTGCTAGGCGACCCACATAAAACAAAAGGCTGTGGAAACGTTCTAGGAAGAAGATGAATAAAAACGAAGAAGAAATCTCTTTCCCAGCTGGATGTGATAAAGACCACACACCTCATCTAATGCAACGGCTAACATTGCAGAGTTTCCTTGATCCTTGGCTCGTTTAACGACGCTTTTACAACACTGGTTGTGGGATGAGAGAAAAAGCGATCGTGGCCTAATTGAAGTTAGGTCT